CCGCCCCCGCTCGGTCCCGGCCCCTGGGAGGGCCCGGCGGAGCTGCGGGCGGCGCGGCCTCCGGACAGGCCGCGGCGCATCGGCGGGAGGAGAGCCCGGGCGCTGCGCTGCCCTCGTTGTTGTTACTGTTGAGATCAGGTGGCTGATGGTTCCTCTGAGTTAAAGCTGAAAAGGGTGGGGAAAGGACCTGGGGAAACAGGAATGCTGCTTGCTTTGCATAAACTGCGTGAAAAATAGCGTCTTGTAGATTTTGTAGATTTCTGTGTATTAGTTGGTTCTCAGTTGTGCTTGTGGCATGGAGCCGTGCTTCACTGAAGTTTGTTGTTTTGGTGTTTGTTTTTTTTTTTCTTTTCTGAACACTGTAGTCAGTGTACTGTCAACCTTTAAATTACAGACTCTGTGTTGTCTCTTTAAAGTGTTAAATTCAATTAGCCCGTTCCTGCTTGCTGACTGTAATCTTTGTTTTGTTTCTGAACGTACAACAAAGGCTTATCACACGTGCTTGAGTGTATCCTGAATTTACTCTCTTATTTTTGGGTAGTGTCCCACTTTCTTTTGCCTGATTTAGCTGTATCTGTCTTGTCAAAAAGTTTCAAAATCTTCTGCAAGCTTAATATTTCCACGTAGAAAATGTTTGTGAGAGCAGTAGGTCGGCATGGGTCACACAGCAGAAGGACACCCACCACCTTCTCCGGGGGGATCAGGGATCCGTAGTTATCTCCTGCTGCAGGAACCAAAGAAACAGCAGGCTGGTCCAGTGCGAGCCCTGTGCAAATTCCTGGTGCAGGTCTCTGCTGGTTACTCAGCACTGTTTATTGTTGATCAGAAAACCACATGATGAAGAGCTGGACTCACTCTGTCCATACAAATTCTGATTCATAGCTGCTCAGCCCATGGAAGCTACCACATCCTCTGAAGTACAGTTGGTTTTTTTTTTGAAGTACAGATGTGTTCTGGATCACGTTTTCTTGTTTCACGTATATCTGATTCTTTGGGGGGCTGCTGTGGTTTCAGTTGTGTGTAAGGGGCTGCAGGGAGCTGTGTTATGCAATTAATGTAAATAGTCTTATTTCTTTCTTTTCTTTTTTTTTTTTTTTAAGCTGAAAAAAAAGGTCAAAAATCAGACTTGTCTCAAAGAAACCAAGTGGGATCTAAATCTCTTCTAAAAAGCCCTGAGAACAAACTCAGCATATCAATGTCAGCATTACTGATCTACAGTTCTGGATGAGAACTTTTTCCTTCATTCATACTTAAAAGCATACCAGGATCATATTATTTGAGCACTTCATGAAAGATCAGTCTCGTTCTCATTTGCACTGGCAGCTTTTCCTATATCTGCAATGCCATTTTTTCCTCTTGCCTAACAATTGATATTATTATAAAATCCAAGTAAATTTAAATGCTTTGTACTCTATATCAGTCTGTCCCTCTCCTTCTTTTCCTGTGCTTTCCTCAGTTATGAAATCTTTAAAGCATTTAAGTGATTTAAAATATTTTGAGCTTAGATAGATTAGAATCACTGTGTTTTTGTTGTGTGTTGTCCTTATATTTCTACCTTAAAACAGAAAGAAAAAACCAGATTGCTATGACTTAATTGAAGGGACAGGTTCTGAGATTCTTTTTTACCTAGGTGCTGGCTGGCTGTTAGAGACACCAACTTCTGCTTGAAAGCTTTGCTTGATCTTTGTATCTTTGGTGTAGATATTTCCTAGTGAAATTGACCAGGACTTTTTACAATTTTGTGGCAACTGGATTTGATGTGTGTTTTGTTTTGTGGTTTGTTGTTATTTTTTTTTTATTTTTTCTGTTACTTGTACATTTCTTTTTACAAAACTTTGAGCTATAAAAGTTCTAGTTAAGAGTACTGTGAAACTTAATAAGAACTTAATGTTCATATGTAGTTGCTTTGGAGGGAAGGTAGATCAGATTAGTTTTGAGTGATCTGGAAAAAAAATATTTCTTCTTAACTACTTAGTCCACTTTAATATCTAGTTACATAAGCCTTCTTTTATGACTATATGCCATTTTCTAGTAGAAAACAAGAAAATACTGAAATGTCCTGTGTGCAGGACGATTCATATAATCCCTAAAATATTGCCCCTTCATGAACAGCAATCCTTTTTTACAAACAAATTTAGTTACAAAGCATCAAATTAGATGATGTCGTGTTTGGTTTAGGTCGTTGCTTTCTTTATAAATTGATTTCTCACTTCTGCTGGCAGCGTGCCCAAATGCAGGCAAGTGTAAAAACTTGATATGGGGGCTCTCTATACAGTGCAACTGGTTTGTCTTGCACCCTGCTTGGCTTCCTGTGTGCTTCTGCTGGAAACATCACTCACATGAAGCAACCTACTGGCAGCATGTAGGTGTTGCAGATGGATCTTTGGTGTGATGTTTGCTTGGGCATTGGATTTGTATATATATATTTTTATTTTTTTTTTAATCAGTAACCTTATCTTACTCTCTTGAGACAAAATATGCATAATCATGGCTTTTATCCAAACATCAGCAAATGAGTCCTACAGCTGGCCTACAGATAGTTTGTTCTTGTTGGGAGGAGGTTTAATTTTAGAGTTGGTTTTGCTACTGGTAGATTGGGCTGCCCCATTTTTCCATCCCTAACAATTTCCTTCTGTTAGCAGGGTTGTACTTCCAGTTTCAGGTCAAGTGATTGTGCAAGGTGCTGGATCAGCCACTTGAAACCCTTGTGTCCAAGTAGATTTCCAGCATGTGCTTTTCTGATGAAAGGACAAAAATAGTAAGCCTTCAATCAGAGATTATGAATTTAAAGCAGGATCAATGGGTACCTTTCCTACATGATATAAACAGGATTTTGCCAAGGCATTGGTCCCTGCATTGTCATGCTGTGTCCAGTTTGAATAAGTCCAATGCTTCATTTGGTAGGTGAAATTGGTATATAAAATAAACTGTGGACCTTTTTTTGTTTTTCTTTTTTTTTTTTTCCCCCAGATGTTGTTGGATGTCTGAGTCTTTTTCAAACTGTAGAGGGACACATACATCAAGCAGAGTAGCAGTAAAATTCTCAAGCAGACTGAACATAATGCAACACACTTTTCTTTGGAGGATACTTTGTAGCATCTTGGCAGGATTTTTAAACCCCAGGTTGTAGTTTGTAAAGAATGACTGGCTTCTTGGCTGCATACTCGGAACAATGCTAGGAATGTTTGGGTGCCTGTGGGTTCCCAAACCTTGTGTATTGGGAATGATGTCATACAAGCTGAAGTTTTTGCAAATGTTTTCTTGACACTTAGCGCTGAGTTTTCTTATGCGTCTTGGGCATGTTCTTGACTCATATTCCTCAGACCTTTTCTGAGTGACAATTATATGGTAACTCTTTGAGAAAGGAAGTGAGTTTTGTTTTTCTTGGCAAGATAGTTACTTTTTTCTATTTTCTACCTGGAGCTGCTTCTCAAAGGAATACTGATTCCCTTCAAAAGAAAATGCCTTCCAACTGACTGCCATATGAATTTTTCAGTTATTTTTAATATAATCTTTCTGGGACTGTACAAAGACAGGAATTTGAAATAGGTCTTCAAGCAAAATTATGTCAGCATGCTTTAATTTACCTCTCCCCTTAAGTGTCGGTGCTTACCTTTTAATCTCAAACAGTTCCTTGTAGACTGTTAAAAGATCAACTCTTTACTCCACCAGGTTCTGTATACTTTTAACACTGTGTGGGGATTGAAGATATTCCAACACAAAAGCCTTAATTAAAGTTATCTGAGGGGCTGCAGAGATGTGTGTGCTTACATTGTACTGATCATCCATTGATGTAGCTCCTACCCCCCAACATACACTCTCAGACAGACAGGCACAGCTGTGGCTGAAAATCTTTCCATTTTGGGTCTGGGAAACTCATTGTGTTATTTTGGTGGTGTTGGTTTTTCCAGCTGTGTAAGTTGTAATAAAAGATAATCCCTTATCTAGCATGTTCTTTTTCCTTCCCTCTCCAAGCTGCTGCTGTTGGATTTTTGAATGCAGAAATTGCATTAAAGCTGAGATGTAACAGTGTAAGTGCCTTTTCACCCACTCTAAAGCTCGAGCCTTTGCAATAGTGGCAGTGGTGGCTACTGATTTATTTTACCTTGGAAAAAGTGAAACTGCCTCTTTCCCAGCCTCTCTTGACGGCAGAGCTGCTGTGTGAGTTTGCTGCATTCCAAAGGATAAAGTCTTGTTCCTGGCCACCTTGTTCTTATGCCTGACCCCTTCACATGGTACTGTTTCTTGTATTCCACATACCGTTCCATGTGCAAAACTATCTTGAGAAAACTCCACAGCTCTGAATAGAAGCTTGAGTTATGGTCTGTCTACTATTGTGATAATTTTTAAGTCAAAATTGGCTGGTCTCCACAAGTGGAAGTAGTTTTTGAGGCATTACAAGCGTGTGGGACCAGCAGAGTTACTGAAGCTGCTTTTTTTTTTTTTCTTCAAGTGCCATTTTTCAAATACTACATGTAGTAAGAAAATTCAGTCCTCTTGGAAGTTCTCTGAAGGTTTGTTTGCTGTTGGTGAGACGTTGAGGGTAAATACTGGACTGTTAAGAGGCTATAGTATAAGGCATTGAACATCTTGCAGACTCTCAACCCTTATAGCTACTTCCATGGGGTTTGAACTTTTTTTGAAAATCTTGTCTAATTTGTCTCTGTCATTTTCAGAATACTATATTGGGCTTTCTTTTGATAGCCTAGTATGTCAAGTTCATTGTAGGAAAAAATAGGTCAGTGATCCCTGAAGAGATGCCTGTGGCTTACTAACTTCATAATTATGTTGCAAACCATTAAACAGCATTATGACCACAACATTTGTGGGCATAAACCTGTCTTTATTAGGATGCAAGCATAAAAATATCCTGTAATAAGCTTTAAGATGTGAGTTTTATTGCTGGTTTTCAAAGGATTTTGTGTCAACAGATATTTGAGTTGCTTTCCAAGCTATAGCATTACCTTTCTACCTAAATAGATTTTTAATAAACACCCATTAATGATTTATATTTGGGAAGTTTCAAGTAATAATTGGGCTGTTAATTTTGAAAATGGATCAAAATTAACCACTTGCTTGTAATAAGAAAAATGTCTCAAACTTGATCCTTTTCTGTTTGCCTGAAAAATAACTTTGTGACATTAGTTTATTAGTGTATTACAGGAATACAGAGTTTTAGGGCACCAGGCCTTATTAAAGGTGTTTCATAAAAACTGAAGGGATCTCCTCCAAATATGTATGAACCAGAACTGGGCTTTGTTTGCTGGTTTGTTGTTTGGTTGTTTTTTTTTTAAGATGCTGGTTCTTGCTGATAATTTAAAAGTGGGAAAAAAAATCAAAACCCCTTTTCATTTTAGATACTAAAGGATTATTTTACATTACCAAGTTAAAACTTATTAATTGTCTAACTAACTGCTTAGATTGTGGGGTTTTTATGTCTTGGGATCAGACTTGAAGGCAAGGATGGGTAGACTGGGGTCAGACTTGCTTATTGTTACTTGTCTTGACATTGATTTTTTGATCCAGGCTGCTCTTCCAGGTCAGTGTGATAAAGTCATAGGCTTACAGTGTGTTCTATTAATTACACAGCACTGGGAACAGTACAGCTGCTTAGTGGCTGAAAGCCAAAATAAAGTTTTCAATTCTTACAGGTTTTACCTATTTCTTATACAGGATATCTCATGCATTCTCTGCCTACTGTTACTTTTTGATTTATTTTTTTTAAGTCTTCCTGTCATGTGCAGAATTAAATTACTATTTTAAATCTATGTAAACATGCATACAAATTCTTGTTGAATACCTCCTGCAGCTCTTTGCAAGGCAGTCAGCCCAAAGCCCAACTGCTTGGTTGCACATTGAAGATCCCCATTGCTGTAATTTTATAGCTATTATGATTGATACTCTAGTTTTTTCAGGCCTTCACAACACTGTTTGACTACTTAGGAAACATGCCAGAGATTGATCTGTACCTTTGCTACCTGTAAATACTTGTTAAACCTCCTGGCAAGCCTGAAGTGTCATCATGTGCAGTGATGGGCCTCAAGAGGGACCCTGTTGATACAGTACCTATCAGAGGCTCTGATTATTGATATGAAAGACATTTCTTCAGTGAAAATAAAAAGCTCTGACTGTACTGTAGTAACAGTACAGTACAGTCATGAAACTTGATTTTTCTTTGACAACCCTATGGCTCATTAACACAGGCAAATGAAATTTAAATACTTGAGCAATAAAGACTGAGATGAGTTGAGAAGTTCCAGAAGGTTGTTGCAGAGATCACGCATCATAATCTTCAGAGTTCATTGTTAGCAGTAACTTGAACTGATCTGGATTTGTTAGTCAGTAGTGAGATGCAAGTCTGAAAATTTTGCTTTCTCTTGGTATCGTATTAATTTTAAAAGTGACAGTTTTTGTGAGATAGTCTTGGGACAGGCAGTAAGTTTGTCCCAGTTGCAGTGGGTGCTTGAGAGAAGTAGAGACTTGTGATTGTTTTTGTGGAGATTTGATATCTGGGCTCTGTCTGCCTTCAGAAGTGACTTGTTACAGCCTGAAAATATAGGAAATGCAGTTAGAGTAAATGGACTTGGGAGTAGCAACAAGCATAGAAATGCTAGGAAGAGCTTTCAGAAGTACATGGAAAACTCTGGAGAGTGGGAGAGGAAAATAAATATGGAAAATGCACTTAGCCTCCATGATGGACAGTATTTGAAGAAAAATGCTTTAACAGCTTCCAGCATAGCAGTACAACCCATTTTCCAGACAGAAAAGCTGAGGTCAGTGAGCAGGACATCATTGCACAGGAGGTCGCTGGTCTACAGCATGAAGCTCTTCAGTGATGCTGTCTCTAAGCCTGGAGAATGACTACTCATGTGGAAGAGACACAGAGAGAATAGCTAAAGGGTAAACTGGATGCTGCTAGCAAATGTGGTATTTAAAAAGGAGTAAATCTACAGTTTCTCCACAGTATTTTTTTAGCCTATATAAAGAGTTTATCTTGAGTTTTTGTGCATATCTTTGCCTTTTTTTTTATTCCCTTCATTAAATCATCTGGTTCAGCAGCAGTAAGTGTTATGCTGGGGAAAGAATATCTCAAATTCTTGCCCACAGCTTCTGGTTTTGGGAAGGTGAATTGATTTATAAAGTGACAAGTACAAAGATACAATAGTTTCATAGAGGCAGTTAAAATGAAAAATTGCAAACACTCTTGGTTCTTGGTATTTTGGCTTATGTTGAGCATATTATAGTTACTGTGAATAACAGCCAATGTTTTGATATAAAAACATGGCTTTTCTTGAATACATGAGGAATGCCTGCATTTACCAAAACCTTAAAAAATCTAGTAAATACCAGTGCTGTCAACAGGAATGTGGAAAGAATATAAAAATGTGAGGAGTTTATTAAAATAATAGGTGGAGGCAAAAGAGAGAGCCCAAAAATGAAGAATTTCAGAAATGAATTCTCTTGAACAGGTATTATAGTTTTCTTGGAAAAAAACCAATGGCCATAAGCGCCATTTCTCTGAGGCTCATATTCCCTGTGTCAATGGTGGCTGTTTCCTGATTAAAGAGAAGAGATTTTTTTAAAACAAATTGGGTACTACCTTTATAGTTTTCAAGAATGTAGTTTCTTGACTTGTTTTTAAATTATTTAAATAATAATAATTGGCTTGTGGATAATGAATTGAATGCATATGCTTATACATATTAGAAAGAAGAACATTTTACTGGTGAATTGCTCCTTATACATCCTAACATAGCTTTATTAAAAAGCTTTAAAAATGTGATAGAACTTGCAAGATCTGAGTTTGTAAAATTAGAAATTTTAAGTTTGTCCTGGATGATTTCAACCAGATGATATGTTGAAAAATGGGATATAATAGTGACTGCATGGAAGCTACTATGTTTCATATCCTGAGTACAATTGCATATGGCACAGAATAACCCTTGGGTCAGTTGGGGTCAGCTGTCCTGACTGTGTCCCCATGCAACTCCTCCAGCCTCCTTGCTGGCAGAGTGGAGTGAGAAGCAGAAAAGGCCTTAACTCTGTTTAAGCACACTCAGTGCTCAAATCTTTGAATTATCAACAGTTTTCAGCACAAATCCAAAACAAAGCCCCATAGTAGATACTGTATAAAAACAAGCCAAAACCAGCACAATGGGATCATAAGAAAAACTGTTTTCAAGAGAGGAAAGTAAGGATAAGGCCGTTTGGAAAAAGCAGCAGAGCAGTAGGATGAAGTATATTGGAAACACAAGCACTTTGGAGTATATAGAGCCACTGTTAACTTGTAGTTGCAGTAAAAACCTTTATTGTTGTGTTCTGTTTAACAACCACAACACAGTCTTTAAGTGTGCAAGATGTATTTTCAATAATGCTGTTTTTTCCATTGTGAAATATGTTTTTTTAATGAACAGGCTGTTTGATTCACTCAGTTCATTTTTGGAACTCTTGACATATTTACTGCTGTTTGAATACAACATGCTTGTGAATTCAAAGATGCTGTTTGAATACAACATGAACAACAATGCTCTGGGGACACTTGGTGTTTATTAGTGTTTTCACAGGCATTTCTAGTGAAGCACATCATGAGCAAAGTACAAAAAAGCTCAAAATGTGGGTACTTGTGCAGATCAGATCAGCGCTGCACACAAACAAGTTGTACTTCCAGCTGAAGTTGTTTTTGCTTCTCCTGCTGTGCCAGTATCCACTGGCATTCTCTACAGCTGAAACATTCAGTGACCAAGTGTTCACCCTGCTAGAAAATAGTTGACTTTCAATCACTTGCAGAAGTTTTAGTTAAGTTGGTAGAGAAAACATTTTCATATTCTCCTTGATCTGGCCTATCTGCACTTACTTGGTACTAGCACTGGCATTACTATGATCCTACAATTAAATAATTTAGAAGACTTCAGTTTGCTATTTTTGTTTTGTTGTTGCTGAGGTTTGTTGTTAATCACATTAGTCCATGAACAGGCTTCCTGGGGGTTGAACAGAGGTACAGATGAAGTACAAAATGTGGTTGGTGAGGAAGGTAATGCTTCCTCAGAGGACATCTGTTGAGTGGCTCAGTTGCGTTGTAAAATCTGTGCCAGTATTTTCACTTAACATTTTAGACCAATGTAATTTGGCTTGACTTCAAGACAATCTAATTCCATCCATTCTAAGTAATTAGTTCCTGCCCTTTCTTTTTGTATCATTGCATATTTTGCCTGGCATACATTGATCACAGCTAAAGCGTGATCTGTGTAGCCTGGCTATATTAGAATAATTTCCACCCAAGACATCAGAATCAAATATATAACCTCGTATGTGTTGGAAGAGCATCGATTGATCTTCTTCGAGTGTACCCAAATTTTCCAAATAGGTTGTTATTTTAAAAAGCTAAATTAATTCATTATTGGGGTGTGGGGTGCAGCAAAGAGATCAGTGAAAACTTTCCAAACACCTGATAGGTTTTATTAAGAGGACTAACTGTTACAGCATTTTCTCTTAGAATATAAGATTTATTTTTTTTTTTTATTTGTAGGTTTTCACTGCTTCTTCTTAACCTGGAAGAATATTACTTTGAACAGCACACAGCTAATCATATTATAAATAAAGATTGCAAAGATGAAAGGTACAAAACTTTTACATAGCTTAATTTACTGGGGTCATTCTAGGCTCATGTATCTTGAACACATGCACAAGTTGTTTTTTTTATTATTCATTTTAGAAAATTCAGAGGCTCCCTAAAAATCTGTTCAAAGTCAATTATTTTTGAACCAGATGACAATATCCAGCCCATTATCAAGGTAAGAAGTGCAAACTTAAATTTCTTGGTAACTAAAGATTCTCTTTAAAAAGCTTTTAAGAAAGACTGTGTATTTTTATAACTTGCTGCAGATACCGTTGAGGGATTGCATTAGTATAAAAGCCCCAGAAGATAATGAAGCAAATAACCCTTTCACAAGGTAGGTAAATTTGGGATACTTCATGTATTTAACATCCTTTAAAGCCCAAATGCCCATAATTTCAAATATCTTATTTATATTTCAGGAATACATCTGGAGGGATTTCTGTTGTATGTACCCAGGTAAGATCTGCATATAATAGATTCTTAAAGTATAAATGGGTGAGGTTACATAAATGAGCAAGCTTATGTTATTTAATGGTATTTTTCCTCAAAGCTGTCGTCCAAGAGTGGAAAGTTAAATGAAAACAAAACAAATTAGTGCCAAAACTTAAGCATTAATGTGAAACTATTGATGCTGGAAATTGTGCAAACTCTTAATGGCTTCATTAAGTCATTAATTCAATAAACTGAACTTTTTGTCCTGTGCATTTTATAATGGAGCTTAGGGAAACATTAGAATTGAATGAAAAAGGAGACTAGACTGTAATAAAACTTGTTACTAATCATCCTTAATTTGGTCTTGTTATGTTGCTTTCATCTACTTTCTGCAGCATGTTGTGGTAAGGGCAGTCATCTCGGTCCCTGTGGTTCAGCTTTGTGAAAACTCGGGGCTGTGCTGTGTGTCCACCAAATAGATTTCAGAAGTTGTCCTGAAATATTGTCTTCAAGTTTCAGTCAAGAGTCATGAATGTGGATGTATTCATTCTTAGAGTTAACCAAGAGGATGCACTTTAAATTTTGATAAATTGCGGTTGATAGGTGTTCCAAAGCTGTAAAAGTTTTTAAAAAAATGTTCATGTGTTCCTTTCAGGATAGAAAAGACTTGAGGCAGGAAATACGATTTTAAATATTCTTGTATATTTCTAAAATCTGTCTTTACCAGTGCCCAAAACTGATAGCCTTGCTCAGTTACATGCTGCTGCAGTCAAAAACAAACTCAAACATTTAATACTGTCTATACCAGAGAAGGTTTTGCTTTGTGTTGTAGTAATCAGTATATTTAATTAAATTTTGAAGCTCCTTCTGTGAAAAATACTGTGTAATCTGTTTCTTGAGTTGGCAGGTTTTCTTGTGTATGGAGTGATTTTTAAAAAAGTATTTCTAGCTCCTCCAGGCAATGCTTCCACAGTACATCATTACTATATGTTCTGAAGAAAAAGTGATTCTAAGAAACATCTTGTAGGAAAGAGGAATTAAGTTTTAAGATTGCAAGTCTGGTTAGCAACCCCCCCACTCCTTTCCTTTGTAGCTTGCCAGTCATCTTCCTGTCTCTGAGGAAATGTTCTGAAGTACTTGGGTGGCATCGTTAATGCTGGTATTTTGTATAAAAGGCATACAGACTTCCAAGCATCAAGTAGTCACTAATTGTAATTATGACAGATCATGATGTAATTAAAAATATATTTTTTTAAGCAGAATTTTGGCCTTGTAGGAAACCACACATAGGAATACTTGTAACATCTTAAACATCTTAGTCTTTTAGACTCAGAAAAAATTGTTAGTACATAGCTGGATAAGCAACTTTTCTTTATGTAACAGACAATTTAGAACTAATGGCTTTAAAATACAGTAAATGAGAATAATAATTTGATATTATTTCAGTATTTTTTCTTGAGAAAATATTGGGGAGATCCTCCAAAATAGGATAGTACAGTATGCTTAAGTTTTTGCTCAGCTTATAAGTAAAAAACCCCAAACCATTATGTCTACTTATGTAATGTAGAGTAGTCAGTGTAGTTATCTTGTAGAAGAGCAATGAATGTGAAGCAGGTTTCTCATTCTGATTCTCCCATGGCACGATTCAGGTCTGTACATGCTGATGTCAGATGAAAGACGCTAATTACCATTGTTTTTTGATGCAGCACTTAGAGAGACATGCTGAGCTTATGGGCTTCTAAGCCTGCCACTTGATTTCTTCTAGCTGGATGTTTCTTGGAGCGGTCATGTGGTGAAGGTTGCCAGCTGGTGGGAATGGGGAGGGCTGTATGTAGCAGCCAGCAGGATTCTGCATAGAGAGCCTCTGTTCTTGCAAGTTTAGTGATTGCCCTGGGTTTGGGGCTGCTGCCATGATATTTTGGAGTGTAGAACTGCCTGTAGGAAGGAAACTGAGGCACAGGGAAAGGACCTGTGATTAGCCAAGTCTCTTGCGTCAGGAGTAGAACACAGTAGGTTGTGTACTTGTCACCCCAGGACAGCAGTCCAGTGTGTTTTATTGAGTTCAGAACCAGTCTTGAATTTAGGCATGAGATTTAGCAAGTTTGAACCTTCTCTACAAACAGCAAAACCACAACTTTTTTCTGACTTGTCACCTCTGAGATGGGGGATAGTAAGGCACAGTGTGTAAATTGGTGTGCTAGCAGTCAGGTCTTTCTATAGGAGTTGTGAGAGTGTTCTGAAGAAGGAGAGTGGTTTCATGTGGGTTTTGGAGAGGAAAGATGTTCTCAGAGATGAGGCTAGCACCAGAGAAGTAATACTGTTCAAAAGCATGGTATTGGATGAGGGAGGAAATCTGGTGTTCCTTGCGGTTGGAGCTGGAAGCAAAATGTTTAGCAGCAGAAGAAAGGTATTAATTTGAGTAAGTTTGCACAGTGTACATTGTGAGTTGCCAGTCTGGGGTAATTCCTGTTCGGACAGAACCTCTAGCCACTAAAAGAGGGGGAGGATCTGCCCCACTGAATGTAGCTGTGTGTATTTGCTTTAGTCTTGCAACTCCTTGAAGGTCATATGATTAGGATGAAAGCCCACTAATCAACTGTATAAGTAAGCCTCTGAACTAAATTGGACTCCTGCCCTCCTTGCAGTTAGCTGATATAAAAGGTCATTGTTTTTCTGCAGTTTATCTGGGATAGTTAAAGCAGGATATTACAACCCAGTGTTTTACTTGCTTAAATAGTGTTCATAGCTTTGTATATACCAGTACTTCTCTTTATTTATTTATTTATGCATTTATAATTATTTATTTATTATTTTTGAGGTGTGAGTCTGTAATGTCTGTTACTCTTTCAGGTTTTTCTCATTAAAGAAAGAAATGTTATTGCACCCTATAAAACAGTAAGAGTAAGTACGTATTTTTTCACTGCTCTTCGCAAACTGGAGTTTTGTAAGGATTTATGTTCTCATTTCTGAAAGAGTAAGATCATTATCATTTGAGGAGCATTAACAATGAAGCTTTACAAAAAAAAGTAATTGTATAATGAAAAAACATGTCTGAAATCTTCTTTGATGACTTTCTGATACTTCTTGGAGGGCATGCTGCAGACTTGACACTTGCCTTTTACCTTGATGTGCAGCTCTATGGACTCAGTAGTCAGAACTATCAGCTGCCTGCTCATGTACAGTGGACACTGCATCCTGGCTAAGTGGCTTCTCCTCAGTTCTGCTCAGACCTGAGATGAGAGATTGCTAATTGATATTTCCCAGCTGAGTGCTTCTCAGTTCAAAGAAATGGCAGATAAGGCTGCTCACAGCAGAAATTGGAGCTTACTCCTGGTTGATTTCTACTGATGGGGTCAGTCAGCTCCAATTCTGAGCCTGGAGGCTTCAAGGCACACAAATAAGGGTTATTTGCTTAAATTGTGAGGTTAGTTAAAACACAAATGCAAAACTTTTATTATGCAGAGTTAATTCATGTTTTGCCCAAGAATTGAAAAAGACACAATTATATTTCTCAATGTATTTGTTTGAGTAAGAAACTTCAAGAATGATGGAGTCCACTAATTTGTATTACTGTAGTGAGCAGCAGAGAGGCAAGAGAGGATCTCTGTTCTCTCACCAAGTGCTTTTGGTTGGTTTTGTGATTAGATCTGCCTCTGAACTAGGACTTCAAAGTTGTTTGGTTTTTTTTTCTGGTAATTCTTCATGTGTTAAACCTATTATGTTTTCTAGCCCTTCCATGATACATTTTGCAGCCATGTGCAAGATTTATTAAGTATCAGACAAATACCTTATCCCGTTGCCAACACAGTGGAAGAGAATCAGAAGGGTTATTTGGAAAGCTTTTCATTTCATTTTCTCCTAAGTTATGATTCATCCACAGCTAAAACATTTCTGACAGTTAACCATCACAATTTACTTTACTAAAGTACAGCTATGTTTCTGCATTTTAAAACAAGAAATCTAAGTTTGAAGTTCACCTTCAATCTTTTCTGATTTTTTTCTGTTGCTGCTAAATATCTTCTGCTTAAATTGTTGCCAGTTTCATATGTCACTGAGTGCTGGAATTAAATAATACATTTTATCTTCAATGTCTTTCTTCGATTGTTTCAGATCAATTACAAAATACTGAGCTGTTGTCTTTGAATATGGCTGGAGAGCTACAGGGACAACTGCTCACAAAAGCTGTTACATTGTTGGTTGTAAGCAATAGTTGTAGACCATTCGCTAGGATTTCTGAGAGCTGTGTTTTTTTCCTGTTGAAGGAAAACAATGCTCTGGTGAAATGTTGCAGGGCTTTTATCTAAATTGCTACTGAATTTCATGTCTCCCTATAATCCAGTTCCATTTGCTTTTCGAAGCGTGCTTTCCTCTTGCATTGCTGTCAGTTCAGCTCAGATCACATACATTACACTGAAGATCATCTAGATTTTCATGTCTTCCTTCCTTCAGTTTAAAATTAATCCAGTTGTATCTACTGACCAACGTCTTGCTTTCATCTCACTTGGTTTTTTTTAAAGTCTAGCCTGAGACATCACAAAATGCTACAGAAACATGTTGCTACAGTTTTGTACTACATTCAGGGGTCATGAAAGGATCCAACAACCTTTGCTAAATATGAGTTGTGTGTAAAGTTAGTACCAGTTGACCCATACACATACTTTTAATATACTTAACTTAAAACCAGGGATGTCTACTATAAAATGACACTTTAGAAAGCTGGGAAAACCTTTTAGGGGAAAAATGAGTGTGCCACATATGCTGGGTGATGTGTTAGGCTTTTGTAAAAGACTAGTCAAAATAGGCTGTGATTGTATTTGGGGTCTTTAAAGATTTGATGGGCTGGTGTTTTTCTTCTTTAAGAAATACTTGTTTAAAATGTAGCATGCCATTTGCTAGTACTATATTTGCATGTATTTAAAATAGATATTAAAATAGCCAGTATTAAAATAGACAGAATAGGTACTACTCCTACATTTACTGATGCTTTCCCAGCGTTCACTTACTTCAGTGCTATTGTGCTGTATGGTGTTGAACAACAGACAAAATACTGCACAGAGAGCTTTCCACAGGGAGGATGTATTTGTAAAGAAAAGAGATTAGTTTTACATTTGCTTTTGGAATCTTTGAGATACAACACAATCTTTAATAACATAGTTTTACCAAGTTTTAGAGTTTTCTTATTTAGGGGTTTATAGTTTAGTTTAGTTTGTTTTGACTTTTTTTTTCCACTGAGGTCTATTTGGAATTAATTTGTAGTAAATGTACTTTTAATTCTAGGGTAGAACAGAACACTTATTCCAACTGGATGTTGCTGGGAAAGTAGGAGATGTTGTGCAAACTCTACATCAGGTATGTAGTTATTCGATATTCCTGCATATTTCATCACAGCATCTTTTGATTTTTAGTGTAGAGCTTTATTTTATCTCAAGGTGAAAATCTTGGAATATTTATTTTTAAAATGTGGACTTGAACACGGTGTCTAGTTCTGACAGCTGTTGTAAGTGGCCCATATTAGCTTTTAGTATGCAGGGTGATAGTAAGCAAAGTAGTAACATAGCAGTAGCAGTGAATAAATATGTCCTACTGTAAAAAGAAATAATAATAGATATTTTAATATGTTCTCACAAAGAATGCTAAAGCCCCTCCTGTTCCTGTTGGCTTTCGAGCTGTGTGGGACACCTCTGTGCTATTTCACTTTAAGCTCGTTGTTTTAGCTTTACAGGGCTTCTTGTCTAGATAAGATGGGAGATCAAGCTGCCATGGTGAGTATGTGATTATTTCTAATATCCTTGTTTAATAATGAAATTGTGATACCACTGTTTAGTAATTAAGTTCTCATTGCATTTGAATCAGAGACCATATTAATTTTTCTTTCCTTCCACATTAGATCACTGCTATATTGCAGTCACGCTTGGCCAGAACTTCATTTGATAAAAACAGGTACTTTTCTAATCACTTTCTACTAGGAAATCATTTTCGTCTTTTGGCTGATCAGTCTACTGCACTGATAGTTAGATGGCTGGTTGAGTTAGTGTAAGTTCCCTGATTCAGAGAGGTCTTTGTGTTCTAAGCATCTAGAATGGAGAGTGGGAAATTCTATGTTGTGAAGATGGATGTGTTACTTTGTCTCCAAAACATTTCATTTATCTGTGAATTTGTTGCAATTGGGCATCAGTGTATGCCAAATAAAAATACAGTTTTGGAAAAGTCAGCTGGTTTACTATTCTCAGACTGGAGTAGAATGTAGCAGTGCTCCTTTCTGGAGTGCCTTTTAAAGTGGAGCTCCCAACAAAACTTTATTCCTGGTAAAATAGGCTTGGTGAAGTCTCATTCTGATGTCCCAAGGCTATAAGCTAACTAAAACCTTTCTAAATAATTTTAGGGTGCATCTACCAAAGTAAGAACTGGAGGTAAACTTACTCCTTTTCTTCACTTGTAGATTTCAAAGCATTTCTGAAACGCTGCATATGGAATGTAAAGCAGAAATGGTGACGCCACTGGTGACTAATCCAGGGCATGTGTGCGTTACTGATGCTAACTTGTACTTCCAGCCTCTTAATGGATATCCTGTAAGTGCCTCGTAGATGGTCTTGCATACAATGTGAGCACGCTGCCCTGCTAGTGGACAGTTTTAATTTTCTGTACTATATCTCTGAAATGCACATAGAGCATATCTCCAAGACTATTTTCAGATATACTTACAAGGTCACTAGTTTTCCTTCAATCTCTGCTGCTCTGCTGCATTCAGTGTATCTCTTCCTCTGAGGCTTCTGTGCTAATTTGCTTAAAGTTTACCTGCTACTGACAAAGCACAAAATGTCCTTGCTCATTCTCTATTAATATTTGAAGATCAACATTTCATTTAAGATAAACTTCTCAATCTTAGTCTGTTCCAAGTTAGTGAGAGCTTTACACGTTTACTTTGGGAGCTCTTAGCTAGGTTTTCTATAAAATTGATCATTTCTTTCTCTGGAGGAAAACTGAGTGCATGATGGCTTACTGCTTTGGAACTTTCCATAGATACAGTAATGATGGTCTTTGCAGGCCACTGTCACTTACCTGTGATTCTGTGAAATACTTTTAGTACAGACATGGCAGTAGCACGATCACCAGAAAGCTTTAATTCCCAGATTAATTTTTTTTTTTCCAATTTGCAAGTGAGATTGCATCAGCAGCCCTGGTGCTGCTCCAGCTGGGTATGACTGATCCTGCAGACTGGTGGTGCACAGTCTGGCCAGGGATGAAGTACCAAGATAGACCCATCCTCTAATCCCAGTGCTGGATTGCCAGTTCCCTCCACAGGGCTGAGGACTGGAGCACACACCTCTGGTGCTCTCATCTGCTGGTACCCTGTGGGGAAAGAAAGGAATCTGCCTAATTTGAGTGCCCTAAGGACAAGGAAAAGACAAGCAGAAGATTCAGGAGAGTCTGGAGACTCAGACACAGGAAAAATAATGGGAAAGCTCTGAGTTCTCTGAAAGGAATATTGAGTTAGAGAGATCATGTCTGTTACAAACTGGTACAGAGAATCTGAGAAAGTGTGTTTGACAAAGGAGGAGGAATTTGGGGGACAGACTTTTTAGAAAGGCCTTTTGCTATAGGTCAAGGGTAATAGTTTTAGATTATAACATGCTAGATTCAAGCTAGATAGGAAAAAAAAGGGGGTTTTACCACGGGAGTGGTAAAACACTGGCATAGGTTGTCTAGAGAAGTGGTGGATGCCCCATCCCTGGAAATATTCAAGGTTAGGTGACCACACTCAGACTCAAAGTTAAAGGCCTCCCTGCTCATTGCAGTGGGGTTAGACTAGATAGCCTTTAAAGGTTCCTTCCTACCTGGATTATTCTGTGATTATGACATGCTGGAAATAAGTGCAGGCAAGGGAAAGGTGTTTGAGTGGGACAACGGTGCCGTTCTGATTCCGCCCGCCAGGTGGCACCCGTGGAACACTTTGCCCAGCAGCCCAGTAGCTTCCTTTTAATGTAGTTTATTGTGTTCTGCTTCTCTGGTGCATGAGCATTGCTGCTGGCGACAGGCTTGGGGATAATACACTGCTGCCTACTTATTCCTAAACTGTTCTGCTACTCAGGAAAAAAATAACAGCAAAGACAAGCTTCCTCTTTTTAACATAACTGCTTAGCGTCACTATTCCACTGCTAAAATGACATGGATGGATATTGTTTCCATATTGCTAGTATCTGTAGTCAAGAAAAACTTAAGATTTTCTGAGGAGGATATGGTAGAAGAACATAAACCTCCTAGAATGTCTCCATCTTTTCTTCTTCCTCCCTCATCCCCTACAGAAACCAGTAGTACAAATAACACTGCAAAATGTGCGTCGCATCTATAAAAGAAGACATGGGCTGATGCCACTGGTAAGCTCAAGTATTTATTATTTTATTTTATTGTCTTGCTATATATATGGTTTCTTAAAGGCACCAGCTGAAACAGTCTGCATCATTAAGTAAAAGCCATGTATTCTTAAAAGCTTTGTATTAAATAGTGAACAGTACTCAGTGATCCTTTCCAGTTTTTTAAGCATTTTCCTGTGTTGTCAAAAAGATGGAAACAGCATGAATTCTGACAAGGATGAAAAACTTCTTTCATAAGCAGTCAGCATAGGGGAAGGGAGAAGGGAGTACTGTTAGGGAGCAATTAATTCCATTTATCTAAAGCACCTATCACAGGATAAAATTAATTTCTCTCTCATGGTGTATTTTCTCTGGATTGATTTGTGGAGGAAGTTTGGTCTCTGCCTCATATTGAAACTAATGTGGAGTGATGGGTCCCACTGTAAGTGACTGAGGAATGACAAGAATCCTGCAGTGAAACTTCAGTCATGTTTCAGTGTTAGCACTGAAATTTCAATCTTGTAGAATTTTTTCTGTCTCAAAACACATTTAAATCAAATATCCTCTTTTTTGCCTAAGCGAATGGAGTGATGCAAAGAATTAAATGCCTATTACCTAGGGCTAATCAATCCAGACAGAGCCAATCTATTGGCTCAGTACAAACTGAATGCTTTTAAGATTGGAAATAGAAAATGTAATATGTTAGATTTTGTGGGCAAAACTGCTACCCAGTTTAGAGCCGTAAGTCTTAGATTTTAATAACTGTAACTTTCTGTTAAAAAACGCAAGCACTACAGCTTGTCAATAATTGCTCTCATTTGTTTTTCCCCCCTTTAACTTTTCAGGGACTTGAAGTATTTTGTACAGAAAATGATCTATGTTCTGACATCTACTTGAAATTCTACAACTATCAGGATCGAGATGAGGTCTATTTCCTTATTGCAACATATATAGGTTTGCAGTATTTATTTATTAATGTAGTATGTAGCACCTTGTGAAGGGGAATTTGTCTGGATTTTGCTCTGTTGATGTGTGGAAAGAATAAGAAAAATAAACAGATATATAAGCTGTAATAATTTTTAATAGAAATAAACGAAGATCAGAATGAATGTTGTGAAATGGCACCAGTTTGGTTGTGTTTGAAGTGCCCAATGTGAAAGCTGAGGTGGCATTATTGTGGCAAAACTAATTTTTTTGATTTGCAACTTGAATGCACTCATTTAAGAGCCCTCTCCCCGCCCCCCCCCTTCAGAAAAAAGTCAAAACTAAACAGAACAAAAATCAGACCAATGAAACAAAGAAAGACACAAAACATTATCTTCAAAGCAAGGAATAAATAAGGTCCACTCAGCTAAATTGTGTTTTGCTGAAAAAGTAGAGACTAGTTTGTATGTGGATCCCCCAAGTCCTCAGTTAAGACTTTATTGAGAAATTTCCTGTAATGGATGGATTTCCAGTGCACATATAAATACCTGAACTTTCCTCAGTCTTAGCAGTGGTTGATGAAAATTGTCATTCTGAAACACTTGAATTCTCATTTTTATTAAATCTTGTATGCATTAATTCCTAGAAAGTGATGGTTATTTTTTTGCAGATTGTAAACAAAAACTTCCTAAAATGTGTGTGTCCTGGAAAAAAAAGGGAGAAAAGAAAAGGGCTGAGTTTCTCTGTAACTTGAAACATGGAAACTCATATTTACTGCCAACATTGAAAATGTTTATGTAAATTTTGTGCTATTTTGTTATTGTATCAGGACTCTAGTTCTGTTTCAATGAATTTGCCTAAATATCAGTTGACATTTTCCTCCTGCTTCACAAAGTAAAATGGAAAGGCCACAAAGTGAAAACCTTCCTTTAGAATTATTTTTGTCTTCTAGATTTTTCTTTGAAAAGGGAGTAGATTCTGACATCATTTTCTCTATTACTGAAATAGTTGCATGCTGTTACCCTGCTTCAGACTTTTTCTGGATAATTTTCTAAGGTGAAATTTCAAGTTGTATGTGAAAATGCTGATGATGTTGGAGCTTAGAAATAAAAAAAAGACGAGCCCTTTCCCTAAAAGTATTTGTAGCACCTTGGTATCTCTCTGGCAGCAGAAGAGCCTCTCTTTGAAGTTGCAAACACCTTTTACTTGTAGAATTTAAAGTACTAAAGTGAAGGAAAGATTGGAATATGTCTTTCCACCCTATTCTGAGCTAAAATAGAGGCCTACCATAATCTAATCCAAGTTTCTTTCTTGCTGTCATGCTGTGGTTGCAGTCTTTCAATTCTGCTATTTCAGGCACTTGCCCAGGTGCTGTATACTGAATCAATGGAAGAAAATGTTAAAATAAATAAATAACCTGGTTTTCCAGCAGCATCCCTTGACATTACAGCTAATAAGCAGAGAGTAGTGCAGTTTAAATTTCTTGTGCTCCTGCCTATACTTCAAAGAGAACTCCATGTGCATAATTCCTACTTTCTTGAGTTTGGGTCAAGTTTTTTTTTTCTCTACTCTCTGTTTCAGTGGATCTGAAATTAAATCCTGTTCATGTGCATACATGACTTCTTTCCACCAGTTACAGATAGTGTACAGATAGCGTCCTTGGTTGCAGTAGAAATATATATTTAGTTTTTTTTCTTGACTGTAGCATAACTGCTTCTAGAAATTTGAAATCTTCAAGGTTGCCAGATTGCTGAGAGAGTTGTTCATGGTCTGCAGATATTTTTCCATTCCACATAAATATTCATCCATTCTTACTGTGGTTTCAACACTCCTTTTTTATGATTTTTATTATTTTTTTTTTGGCCAGATGCAATTTAGACCTGTTTGCAGAGATACTTAAAACTGTGTGAAGTATGGTAGCTATGGAAACATGAAGTTGCCAATTAATTCTGACTTCTTCTATTATGAAACTGTGCCCTTAATTATTTTATAGTATCTTGCATAATGTTAATCACAGTATCATTTCGGGGCCAAACACCAAACCTCACAACTTTTAATATTTTATTTTATTTTATTTTAGAAAATCATATTGCAGAGCACACAGCTGAAAGTTATATGTTGCAGTGGCAGCGAGGACATATATCAAATTACCAGTATCTTCTCCATCTCAACAATCTGGCTGATAGAAGCTGCAATGATCTCTCCCAGTATCCTGTATTTCCTTGGATCATAGCAGACTACTCTAGTTCAGTGTTAGGTATGTGTATATAAAAAAGCATGTTAGTGCATCGTGAGCAACCTGAAATGTGTGGTGGGGGCTTTTACACTGCATAAACTTGGTGTTACATCAAAATGAACCTGGCATTAGTGGTCTTGGATGTTTTCTTGTAGCCCTCATGTTCTTTTCTAATTCTTAGCATTGCAGATTGAATGCAAGAAGCTGACAAGGCTTGTGCCTAAATAGACTCCGTAATGAAGGGTCTTAGTGCAGTTTGTGTTGGGATTTTGTCCTTTTGAGAATTCTGTCCCTCTGCAAGAAACAGAAATGGGGAATCCCATGGTATTTGTCAGCACCTGCTCAAACACTTCAGTCTGATTGTATAGTGGGACTTAACTGTAGCCTGACAGAATGGTTAATGAGTAGGAAGAAGATGATACCAGCTGCTTTTGTGCCTTTGGTAGCAGGACCTTGACTATGTGATACTACTTGTCATAACTGTCCCATATATTAACTATTAGTTCTTAAGCGAGAGGTATGAGTTTATATGTACTTGGAAGGAGATGAGTAGCCATTTACAGTAAGACTTTATGGGGTTGCAGTTAGTAGGGAGGGAGAAAATTACTGGAGGGGGTTCTGTGTTGGCTTTTGTTTGCTTTGTTGCTGCTTGGATAGGTTTGGGGGTGCGGGGTTGGTGTGTTTTTAAATATTGATTAGGATACATTAAAGTAGAGTAGAATGCTTGGAGTCTATATAACCAAGCATTTGTTTTGGGGTTTTTTTTTAAAGATCTGACAAAGCCTGAAACATTTCGTGACCTTAGTAAACCAGTTGGTGCCCTGAATAAGGAGAGGCTGGATAGACTTGTGGTATGTATACCTTGGCATTTATGTGCTGAACATTTTGGGCCTTGTACATATTGGCAATAAAAGGAGCTTTGTCCAGCAAGCTTTGGGGATTATGTCTTATGAATTACTGTATCAAAAGTTAACTATAAACCTTATCAGAAGCAAATACACCTATAACCATTCCACATTTACTTTCCAGCTTAATTTCATCAGAACAGGTTTTGTCAGTACTAATTTAAAATTATTTGAATCCATTTCCTCTCTCTTACTACCTTTTCATACATATATACTTTTAAGAGGTTTGCCTTACTTTTAAAATAATATCCTGAAATCCATTTAGTATATATATGTATATATATGGTAGCACTGATACGCTATAAACATACATAGATTTATGAAACTTCAAAACCCATTAATAGTGCACAAAGTTTTTCTATTTCTCAAGGTAGGCAGGCTTTCCTTTCATAAACTGTCAGACACATACTGAGAGACTTAGAAGGTCCTTACTTGCTTGGTTTTTAATTGTTTATGTAAAATTATTGTCTTCTATGGAAATTTAATTATTCTAAAGTAATTTACAGAACATTAGAAAAAAAACATTGCCAGAATAACTCCATTATATTGATAAAAAATATTAAAGTATTTCAAAATCATATAGCTTCCTAAGATTGTGGCAGGCAAGAATATGAGCAATATTGTGTTTACAGTAACAGTAAATAAAGTCTTCCTTCTAAGATCTGACTTTCCTCAAACTGTTACTGACTTCATGCTTACTGCAGTGAAAGTCATTCTGTTTATATTATGAAACATTTTAGAGTAATGCATAGGAGCTTCAGACAGGAAGGAATCTTCCAGATTGATGGAAGTCAGTATGTTCTTCCACACGCTCATTAAATTTGATGTGAAAGACAAAAAGGAAGCATTTGTTTGCACTTCTTTGAATTAGAGTCACTGTAGTTATGTGCTAAAGTGAGAGGAAAAAAACACTGAAAACCTGATAATTCTGGATGATCAGTTATGACAACTATTTTGCCATGTTGATTTACTGCTCTGATTAAAACTGCATGGATATTAGAGCTTAAGAGGTTTGTTTGTTTTTTTTATCATTAGAGGAAAAATTGAGGGTGGGTGGTCCTAATATATGTCTTTAAAAAGAAACAGTGTGTATGTGTTCAAGATTGAAGGAAAGCAGGAGAGCTGATTTGAAACAGACATTTCTTTCTTCCTATGTTGCAGACACGTTATCAGGAAATGCCAGAGCCCAAGTTCATGTATGGAAGCCATTATTCTTCTCCGGGTTATGTTTTGTTTTATCTCGTTAGAGTTGGTAAGACACCTTTGATATGCTCTCTGAGCAGACAGTTACCTCCAAAGCAGACAAGGTTTTGGAGCAAGCTGATGATATTTTTCTTTCTCCTTAGCTCCAGAATACATGCTCTGTCTGCAGAATGGAAAGTTTGATCATGCTGACAGAATGTTCAACAGGTTTGTTTACATTTTGGCTATAACTAGACTGGTTTTGTTTTCAAGTAGGCATCAATGGGGAGTGCAAAGCCTTAAAAAATAGGGGTTTTTAACAAATGTGTGACTGATCTGTCTTATCTAGCATTGCAGAAACCTGGAAAAACTGTTTGGATGGTGCAACAGATTTCAAAGAGGTAAATGGCTGGAAAATTTTCAATTCTTCTCTTCTGTGCTTAGTTTTCTCATCTACTGTTGATTTGAGAGTGGTTGGAGTGTGTTAGGTTGTTTTTTGTTGTTGTTTGTGCTTTTCAGTTGTGTGGGTTGGGTTTTTGGGGGTGTTTTTTTGGTTTTTTTTCATAAGGTTGATGACTGCATTTTATGAATCCTTTATTAAATGTATATTAATCCCATATCAACTCCATGTTTGCTCATCTGTGCCTGCTTTCTGGCTTTTAGTTTAACAGAAGTATGATTGTGAACATTAATGGAAATACATGGGAATTACCAGAGTGTGGATTAAGGCTGAAAAGACAATTTTAGGTATTGTCTGCTGGAATCTTTTAAGGATTTGGCTGTACTGAAGCACTACATCCAGAGGGTTAAACTGTAGAAGTAGTAACTTGGGGTTTTGAGCCTTGAGAAACCCTAGCTTTTAGAAATGTTGATAATAAACTGACACATAATAAATACTGTCAAACTCCTTTATCAAAGAAACATTACTTAATACAGAGATGCTTTAAAAAAAATAGTATTCAGTTAATGGTTAGATATGGTAGTATTTAAATAATTGATTTAACCTCTGAAAGTTCTGTCATAATTTTAAATTTATTCTAGATTTTAGTCTAGACTCTTACTTGATGTCTTAAAAATGAGGACATAGCTCTGAAGATCCTCATTGACATTAAGGATTTATATGTCACACATTACTTGTTTAAAATGTGTGCCACTGAATTTAGCAATTTAGCTCAGTGAACTGCTTTGTAGGGAAAACCTGGAAAATCTGCCCAGCTTTAGTGCTTGACCTATGAACTTTAATAACTTTCTTTCCACTGAATTATCTGTTTAAGTGACAAAAACTGACCTAATATCAAAACTTGGTTGTTTTTTGTTTGTTTTTTTAAATTCCAGTTGATTCCAGAATTTTATGAAAATGACTCTAGTTTTCTAGTGAACAGTTTGAAGCTGGACTTGGGAAAAAGGCAAGGTGGAAAGATGGTTGAAGATGTAGAGCTTCCACCTTGGGCATCAGGTACTAATAGTGAGATTTCTTGCATTATTAATTAATTGAAGATTGCTGGAATTGTGGTTCTTCCTTAAAAATGTCCCTTCTGGTTTCTTCTAAATGAACTCTTTCTTAAAAGCCCCTATTATGTCAGTGCTTTAAATTTTTATACAAAAATAGAGATTTTCTGTTGGCTTTTCAAGAATGAAGAGGAAGAGAGATGGATACCAATAACTGAAGGGTATATTTTTTCCTTTCATTAACCTTTCTCTTGTCAGGTCCTGATGACTTTCTTCAGAAGAGCCAAGAGGCCTTAGAAAGTCCATATGTGTCGGAACATCTTCATGAATGGATTGACATCATATTTGGCTACAAGCAGAAAGGAAGTGAAGCAATTGCAGCTCACAATGGTAAATACACATTTACAGAACTAGCAAAAAAAAAGGGGATGCTTCAGTTAGGTGGGAATGGTAAATCACAACATATCTGTAATGCTTATTTTGTTTTGAGTGTTCATAACTCTGCTTTGAATGCTTGATCCTTATTGGAAATAGTGACTTAACTGGCAGTATTGCCTTCATGATGATGTGCATCTTTGAAGATGTGCTAAAGAGGCTGGACAAGAGAATTCTGTAGCATTGCTGGGAATTGCTTGCACATCATGGTGTGGCAATATAATAGGGAATTAATGTTTTCCAATTAAAAATGGGAGCATGTAGGGTCTCCAAATAAACATGTATTTAACTTTCCTCCACTTTCATTGAGAGGGTCAGTTCAGTGAGAGAATTTCATTGCAATTTCTACCTCCTCCTGAGGGAATTTCCAAGGGAAATAATGGGCTAATGGGCTCCAGGTCTTTGGAGCAAGAATGAAGGAAAAAGCATGTGTTGGATAGTCTGTATACATACACATGACTGCATGTGAGATGTTTCACTATTTGCAGCCTTACTCTAAACATGTATCTAGCCACTATGGGCAAAGGGGGGTGTTATGTGACTGCTGTGTAGATATGTTTATTTATACCTTAGAGTATTACCAGTGATTAACTTATTAATCAGTCTGATATTTTAGCTGTGCATGTTACCACCCAATAAGGAAGTGCCCTCTTTTTAAAAAAAGAGTAGCAGACCAGATTTTTAGGGTGTTTAATCCAGAAGCCCTGATCCTTTTGAAGGACTACAAGTAACAGAAAATGTTGAGATGGTTTGCACTTAACAAGATAGAATAAGCTTAGAAAGAAAACCTTCCTGTAACAGTGGTTATGGTAGGAATAAGCAACTCCTCATTTTGGTACTCTCTCTACTTCCAGGGTAAGAGAGTAGAGATAGCAAGGATTGTTTTCCTGGGGTTTGTTTGGTTTTGGTTTTTTTTTTTACTGTTTGATTTGGAGTGGGTTGGGTTGTTTGCTCCTCATTTCTTTCCAGTGTACTTTTTCCACGTGTCTTTAACATATGATGGGCTGTATTTTAGAATTGTAGCATTTGGCATCCAGTCATACTGTGAGCATAAGTGTCAATTACAATGTTCCACAGACTTCAAATGCAGTAAATCAGCATATAAATTATGGCACCAATATTTTTACCTCTCAAAAGAGTGCACTAATGAAAGCACTTTTTATGCATAATGCACTGCTTCTGCTGCAGTATGGATTTTTTTTAGCATAATGAATTGTGGACATTTACGTAGATAAGAGAGGCAGAAGGGATCTGTGTATGGACTTAGGTCAAAGTAAATATTCTTAAGCAGAGGCCTCAAAGTCATTTGCGTCATGGCAATTCACCTGGAAAGGTGAATACACAGATCTTTCTGATCATTCTTTATTACTTTCTGTTCCTTATTTGAAAATTAACTAGAGATCCAGTTATGCAGCTGTGCTTGATTGCTTATTTATTTGTTTATTTTTTTACTGGGAGTGGGTATTTAATGAAGCTTAAATAAGTGATCCTTCCTTTATGAAAGTACTGATTTCTTCTGAAACTTTCTGAAAATCTCTTGGAAGTCCAAAGGTTTTTCAGGTAAAAAAACAGGATTAAAATGTAGGACCTCCAACTCTAATGCCTGCTGAAGGAGCTTATTTATGAGTAAAAAATGCAGCTCTGTTTATAGGAAGATGAGCAAAATGAGCCTTGTATATCTACATTGTACAAATAAACTTTTTTTTCCAGTGTTTCACCCATTAACTTATGAAGGAGGAGTGGATTTAAACAGGTAATTAACAAGAATCTGAATGTTTTTGTTAAAGCAGTTAGCCAAGTTTCTCAGTATCTCTCCAAGTTCTCTGCTGGCTGTAAAAGGGCTCTGTACATGAATGGTGTTGCTCTTCTATTTTATACTCCCAAATATGCAGAGAACCAGCATCATATTCTCAGCTTTAGCTTGCATTGAAAGATTGTTATTTAAACATTTCTTCAGTCTGGCTTTTGTGAAATTGCTTCATTTTTTCAGTCATTGAGAATATTGTTATTTTACATAAACAAAGTTATGAAGCCATTACATTATTGTAAATCAGCAGTAAATCAATTCTATAAGAATGTGTGATAGTGCTGTAGTAACTGCATGTGCAGTTCCATGCTTTTGGGGAAGGGGAGAGGGGAAAAAAAGTACTTGCTTCCTTGGCTTAATTATATATCTTGCTTTGTAAAGTATTATGGACCCCAATGAAAAAGTAGCTCTGCTGACACAAATCCTGGAGTTTGGACAGACGCCAAAACAGTTGTTTACAACCCCTCATCCTCAGAGGATAATTCCGAAATTGAAAAGCTTGTCTCGAACATCTAGTCACAGCACTTCCATAGCTGAGTCTCCAGGTAAATGTTTAATAGATAAACTAACAATGTGAAGGATTTGTAATTTTGAGTAGTACCACAGGATCTCATTATACAACTCTCTTGGCTACTTTCCCTGTAAGCCAACTCAAGATAAATCCATTAACTAAATCTTAAAGAAGAACAAAACTAGACCAGTTTCAATTTCAGATAGACCAGTATTCAAATACAGGTGTTGCTCTGTATTTTGCCTCGTGTTCCAGTGGTCTCCTCTGGGACTGTTCAACCTCTGCTTCTGAAGCTGTGGGAGGGCTATCTATCATCCTTGGCATTCCTGACACTTTAAATTCAAGCTGATGTGACAGCAGTTTCAATGACTATATCTGCCATTTTAAACAATGCAAAGATTTGTTTGGGTTTTTAACAGGAATATCTGAGGAGTAGCAATGAATTAGCTTGATCAAAGTAAACCCTAAGAACTTAAATTAAGCATCTGATTTCTTTTTTTTTCCTTTTCCATCTGAAAGGGCATTTTTTTTTTCTCCCTATACCGCTATATACTGTAGGGACAGAGTTGACTGAATAACTTTCTTCTAGAAAAGTATTGCAATGCCCTCACTGGCTTCTGTTCAAGGCAGGACTTAAACCATTTCCCTGAAGCTAAGATACTATTGTCTTCATAATGTAGATGGTGATTTAAATTGAAATAAATTGAGCTGAACATTCAGTCCAGGTATCTATCACTTGGAAAGATATTTCTCATTTGACTGTCTTCAATTCACTTACAATTTAATGGCCTTCACTTTTAAGCAGAGGAGTGACGAGTGCTACTTAGCATGGCAACCTGCAGCACACAATGGCAAGAGGAGCTTTGAGAATTGTATGTGGTGATAGTAATGGTCATGTGTATTAAAATTGATTTGCTGCCTAAACCATTAATTCACACATGAACAGTTTGTCTTGGGTTTGATCTTTTTATAATCAACATTATAAAACTATCTAATTATGTCAATTTTGCATTTTTCATCCCTTAACTTTTGCAACAGTGAAATGAAGTTGTGACAGTCTTAACAGAATGCAATAGAAAAATAAAAGCATATACTTTATTGTAGCAGTAAATGGCTTTTCTAGTTCTTTTCCATCTGGAAAGCCCTTGACTTTTCAAAGGACATAAAAACATTGCTGCAGAGTTTTTAGGGGGTTTTTTTGTTTGTTTTCCTTTTTGGAATTACATTCTGAAAAGTCTGCAGTTTAAAAACACTAATTTGTTGAGAATAATCCTATTTTTGACTGTATAAGCCTATGCAAATTCAGAAAGAGATTTAGGAAGAAACGTTAGTGATCTTATCACTCTCTGCATTAGTCTAAGGATCTTATTCATGGAGCTCTGCATGATTTCTGTACTTTCATATTTATGTCAGCAATCTAGGTATTTGAAATACGTATTTTTATTTTCTATTTGTGATGGAACTTTATCGTGGCATTTTATTGCAGTTTCTCCAAATGAAGAATCATTTGAAGATTTGACAGAAGAAAGTATAACACTTGCCTGGAACAATATTGCCAAACTAAAATTAGATAAGCAATATAAAATTCACAAAGAGTAGGTACTATTCTTTTCAGTCAAAATTCTTCCACTGAATTGGGGTGGGGGATCTGTGTATCAATCTGAATGATGGGTTAGGGTTTAAGGTAAATACTTTTCTTTCTGAGATGACTTAGTGATTTGATTATGCAAGATGAACTTGAGTATATAGTGGGTTATGAATCCAGAGAATGGGTTATTGTCAGCTTGATTTTTGCTATTGTTTTTCCTTAGCTCTATATCTGTATAAGTTATTATTTTAGTCCCTGAAGCAGATACTGATTACTCTTCTCTAAAACTGATAACAGCAGCCAGATAAAGACTTCCATTTATTTATTTTTTTTTATAATGCCAGGAGGATACAACTTCATCCCAACAGATTTGAAAGGTTAAACACTTAAGTTGTTCCACTGTACATCTCAAGCTGCTGCTGCGTGAGCAGTTTGCCAAGTCTCCAGCTATAGGTTTTCAGTTAATCCAGGTACCAAACTGTTCTGATGGATTCCTAGGGAGTCAAGAGTCAGTAGGGGCACTTTTCAGGTAAACTTTGAAAATACCTAATAATGTCAGCTATATTTTAAAGACCAGGTTTTCCTGTGGCCCCATCTGTTGCCCTAGTGACTGGGCTGGTTAGGAGGATTTCTTACTACCTTGAGTCCGGCTACTTTCTTGGTGACTGTAATCCAATCTAGGAAAACATTGTCATGTCCCTAAAACAAGGTAATATTTGTAGTGAGAAACCTGTTACCAAATTATTAGCATTAGAGAAATCTTGATCCTGAAATGAGACTCAAATTTCAGCTTCTGATTATTTTTATTCCTTTTTTTGAAGACTGCTGAGAAATAATGAGACACAGATCTGTGTAACAGAACTTTGGCTGTGTAGGATGCTCTGTGCTTTCTAATTCTCTGATACAAGCTTTGTCTAAATTTCTACCTATAGTACTTAGCCAGTGTCAAATTAAAGGAGAAGAAATGTGCAAGTTCCAATTCCTGATACTTGAGGTATTCAGAATCTGCTTGTAGCCAGTTTCCTGACTATTTGTAGCTAATCCAGAATTGGAAAAACTAAATGTGAAACCATTTATCCTCTCACACGGGCAAGTCCCTTCTGATGGAGTTCTTACAGAACGCTATGGGGATCCTCTCCTAGTGTTTCACATATTATGTCACAGTCTATTTTTGTCTCTAGGCAGATACCACACCACTGTAGTGTTTTTAATCTCCTTGAATGTCTTAGTTCTTACAGAGCTCAAATAACAGATTTCAACTGTAGTCTATTTACAGTATGATGGTTAAATTTCAAAACCTATGAAGTCACCCACAAGCTTACTTTTATTAAACAGGGCTATTACTGGAATAGCAGTCACTTGCAATGGGTCTTCTGTTTTCACTACATCCCAGGGTAAGTATTGCAGAGGTATTTGCCACAACCTGTGGAATAAATGCAGGTTAATGGTTTTTCTTTTTAAAAAAATTGAGTGAAACTGAAATATATATCTGATGTAACTCAATAGCTTAAGTATATGATTTTGCTCAGTTTTAGATGATTTTGACTCAAGAATTTCAATATTATCTAGGCTTGGTAGAGAATTTCAGTAGTAATAATAATGTATAACTATGTCCATTTTGATACCAGAGTTCTCTTAGAGTCTGATGAGCATGGTGTAGTCCATCTGTAACTGGTACAAAACAGGGAAGTTCCAGGCCCAAGTCACAAGCCTTATAAAGAGTTTCTTAGAGACTATGAGAAATCTGTCTGCTTTTCATAGTAAGATATTCAAGCAGGAGCAGAACTATTAGCTTCTAGAATATAAAATAGTCCTTTTTTTTTTCTCTTTTGTCCCTTATCCCCAGATTCAACTTTGAAGATGTTTTCCAAAGACTCGAAAACCATCCAAAGAAGTGTGTCCTTTTCAAACATGGTAAGCTGCTGTCAAAATAAGATTGAGATGATTGGGATGATTGAGAATCTTCTGAAAGCTCAGAGAGATGGCTCTTAGCATGCATCAATGCCTCTTTTCTTTCCCCTGCCTACTCAGTATCGTGTGTGAATAATTTAGCAGAGTGAATTGAGACTCTCTCAGGCCACAGAGAGACAGCACATTTTGCAAACATGGAGAAGGAGTATTAAATGGTCACACTGGCTCTGCTCTGAGTTGCCCTGCTATCCAGGGAAGAGCTTGTGGTAGACAGTCTGGCCTGAGCAGGGGTGTCTTCCTGTGCGACCTTGAACTGCCATTGCAACCAGAATTGCAAAGCTTAAATTCCACCCACGTCCTCACATCCAGGATTACCTTACTGCACCCCAGTGTTTGAAGCCTGTGAGTCAGCCAGCAAAGGAAAACCAAGCACAGGGAGTGGAATCTGTGCTGGGCGAAAATGAGCCATCCTCCCTCCATGAGCAATGATCTCAGCAACTTGTGAACAACATTTCTCCCCTGCTCCTAAAAGAGCTGGGAAAGCAATTCTGGGTTTGATTTTCTGTGCTTGAGCACTGTGGCCAGACCTGGGTTATAAAGATACACTCCCAGTTAGTATATTCAGTCTTCTATTGGTGCAAGACACCAAGATATATGTTTTCCTCTCTACCATCATCTCTTGGGGCAACAAGAATGGCAAATGTGTTGCCCAGACAGAAGCCACAGCATGCTCTGACTGATCCCCAGGTAAATAGCAGGATCAAGACCCTATGGTCTGCCATGGGGCACACTAGCAGGTGAATCTAGATACATCAGTGCCTAATGCTTCAGCAAAGGGAAACCTGGGAACATCACTTCTTGACACTGTGAAAAGGCAGCTCTTTGACTCCTAAGCCAAAAGTCTGTTTCATGAGGAGGCCTTGTATAATCTTACTCTTCTCACCTGTAGTTTTAGTGCTGATTTAAACACTTACAGCAATGCTAAAAGGAGTGGTGTTTACAGTCCAGCAGCTTACTGTTTTTCAACAGACCTAAAACATGACCAGTAATAATACTGGGTAGAAGCACTGGGCTGATAGTTGGTTTTTTCCTTGCTGTTTCTGGTGATGGTAATGTAACTGAGCAAGTACCTGTAAATAATGTTTCTTGTTGAGAGCAGTAGGAATTAGACTGTTACATTTTTTCATTGAAAAACCTAAGCTGATAAGTACCTGTGATGGAGAACAAACATCAAAAGAATCTGCATTTTTAGTTTCTGTTAGCTATTTGTGTCTAGAATTGACAGTAGCTTACTAGATGAAGAGCTGACCCAGTTATTTCTGAGTGAGCAATTACATATCACATGCTTGAAATGCCAGTTTCTTTGGAAAGATCTATCTTTAAGTTCTGCATGTATTTCTGAATGTTTCTGCTCCCTTTGTTTAACAGAAATAAAGTATTTATGATGTTCAGTGTCCAGCCTCTAAGGTTTTTCTTGATCAGAGTTCATATAACATCTGCATGTTATTTTTATAGAAGATTAAAATCAAAGCATGTTGATATGCTTGAGTTGAATATGTAGTAAGAAATTGAGTATTACTATTTTTTTTTCTTTTCTTACAGGCTTTGTCATCTTGTGTAATCTTACCAGGAGATACCACTGTCATAAGTTCTTCATGGGACAATCATATGTGTGTATTTATTTCCTATTGACTGTATTGAATTGCATGCAGTGCCTTGGTTTTCATGCTTATGCTTTTAGATAATGATACAGAAAATAATTTTTAAAACACAGTGTATTTCTTATCCCACCCACCTCTGCTAGATTTCTGTTAGAAACTACAGAAACAAAGTTACTTTATTTAGAAAAAAGAACCCTTAAGTTTTACAAAACTTAATGCTTTTATAACCTTTCCCTCTTAGATATTTTTATTCAATTGCATTTGGGAGACAGCAAGACGTCCTAATGGGCCATGATGATGCAGTCAGCAAGATCTGTTGGCGTGATGGGCGCTTATTTTCTGCATCTTGGGATTCTACTGTGAAGGTTTGTAGATGGAATTGTTACAGTTGCATAACTATTTATAGTCAGTACTTTGTAATATTCAGCCAGCCAAATGCCTTAGGGTGGATGTACCTGTTGTACTAGAGTAATAACCTGGCTAGTATCACAGTAAATTTATTTCTAGAGTTTATTCTTCATTTAGCTTTAGCTCGGCTGTTTCAAAGCTGAAGTGTTATTTTTCAAGAAATTGCATTCATTCTACCTTACTATAAAAATGAGTATTCTGAAGAGAAATTGTATTTGTTGGAGGAACTGGAATGTTTTGTGACTTTGGTGATTCTCTTTCCTGGGAATAGGCTTCTAAAGTGTTTAATAATTTTGTAGTTTGCATTCTTCAGCTAAGAGGACCAGAAACTTGCTAATCTGAAGAGCATGCCTACAGTTAGGTAGGAAGGTAATTTGGAAGCTTGAGACAGGACATAATTTCCCAAAGCCTGCTGTGTATTATTTATCACTGCACATTTAATGCAGTGATATACCCATTCTTAGATAGGCTCTGTAGGTTATCTGAAGTCAGCAGAATTGTGTTCACCATGTGGCTCTGCTTAGGGTAAAGGAGTTCAGGTGCCATTTCTTGCTGTATTCTGCCACGTAGGCAAGGTCCACAGTGAACACAAACAGCCCTTCTTGTAATGTGAGAGTTCAGCACTGAAGGAACTCATCTGGGGTTATACTACTGCTTCCTTGAACAAACTTAACTATCTGTGTTGTAGGTGTGGCACTGTGTTCCTGGAGAGACCGTGAGCAATAAAAAACACCACTTTGAACTGCTTGCAGAGTTAGAACATGATGTTAGTGTAAGTATGTTGATGCAGTATCTCAGAATAAGAAAATTAATTGATGATTTAAATAATGATCTAGTGGTAAAACACAAAGATTGGATATGGGGCTGAGGAGTGTATTTTGGGAAATGTGTGTAGGGGTGTTTTGGTTTGGGGTTTTCACTGTCTGATGGTTCTGCACCAGTGTTCCCTGTTTCCTGGGTTGAAAGGTCCATTTCTTTGAGACTGAAGCACCAGTGTAAACAGACATTTCTTAATTTGTCTTGCTCAGCTTGTGTGCACAGAATTCTTATGGTGGGCAGGAAGGATTGGGTGGCTTTTGTTTGCTTCTTTGGTTTTGAAAACAGATTAATATTTTTTTTCAAGTGTTTTGGTTGTTACAGCTTCCTCTTAATGTAAGGCAAGCAAATGAAAAAGAATTCCTGAGTTGTTTACCATGCTTTCATGGTAAATATCTTAGTGAATTTCCCTGTAAATATATAAACACATTGTGTGCAATGTGTCATAAATATGTAAGTGCATACTTTATTTTTACAGCTTCTAACATCACTCTAGTAAGATATTTAGAATGACTCTGTTCTAAACCTTCCTAAGAGCTATTTTTTTTGAATAGGTCACAATGTTGGCAAATACTGAAACAGTTCTGGTAACATTTAAGAACTGTATCCAAGAGAACTGGAAATAACTGATGGGTAGGAAGATTTTTTAAAGTGAAAATTTTACCCTTAAGGGTAGAGTCTGGCAGTTAGACAGAGAGTGTTGGTACTGAAAGCAATCTGAAATGTCAGATAGCATTTCTGATTGTAAAAATCAAAAGCTTTTTAAAATATCTTCAAGGTGACCTATTTTTTCTTTTTATGGTTTGGATTTTTCGTACTTGCACTTAATTAAGGATGTTGAGAATTAAATTCAAAGCTTTTCATAAATAAAATATCATCTTAGGGATAATGGGCTTGTTTTGTTTAAAACCTGTCTCAAGATGGCTCACATGAAAGAATAGGAAAAATCACAGGATTTTTAACTTCCTAGGTAAATACAATGTTGGATTTCAGTTTTTAATATGCACTGTTGGGAGGTCAAAAGGAATCTTACTCTTGATACCATGTAATATATCTTTCTTATTGGAATTAGTGCTTTAAGGAGGATAGTGAGATGTTTTGGATTGTCACACATCTCCACTGTAAAGAATTTAATTGTACAAAAAGCTATGCTAGGCTATAGACCTGTGGTCTAGACTCTAAACCAATCTTGTTCATCTTTGCTTGCTTAGAGACTTAATTTCCAGTAAATTATTTATAGATAAGTAGGTCAGGCAATGTCACATCCAACGTGCTGATCGCAGAGTGCTTTGGTAACTAGAACTGAATGTCTGAACATGATTTTTTTGTTGTTTCTTTTGTTCACTTCCTTCTTTCATACAGACAGCAGACATCTACTGAGCACAGGGGAGGACTGTTGTTTTAAAGTAATAGATGTACAAACTGGAATGCTCATATCTTCTGTGACCACTGAAGAGCCACAGAGGTAATGCTGAGAACATGCAGGTTATGAGCTGGGTGGAGATGGCTGGAGACACCAAGGTGGGAAGGGCAGTGCTACTGGGAACTTTGTTCTATTGAAGCACTTTTTAGAGTGCAGAGACTGACATTCTAGCATGTTGCACATTATGATCAAGCTTTCCAAATAGGAAAAATCAAACAGCTCTCTAAGTAAATAACTTTTCAACAACAACTTTCATGTCCCTTAATGATGATTACAGCTGTAGCTAACCAGCTCTTCCAGTAGCTGAACTACTGAAACGTCTAACAAGTTGAGTTTTCTTACTTGAATCATTTCCATCACCAATATTGATTTTTTTGGGTTTGTTTTGGAGAGTTTGTTTTAATGTTTTATTTTTATTTTGATAGTCTTAAAAAAGATTGGCTTTTAAAATCAAAGACTGATCACCTTTTTCCACCAACTGAAAAGTATACAGTTATATGGTTTATCAGATAAACAGAAGAAATGCTTACTTAGTTACAGAAGTAAAAATATGGCAGCTATACACTTGTTCATTTTTTTTGGTGGCTACACACAAAAATGCTCACATATATATTTTCACTAGTTATTTACCTGAAAGTCATCTTTGCTTTTTAAGTGATGGTTTCAGGAATATGAAGTGGCAGAAGTGAAACTGAAGGCTTATGAGAGCACTGTACATCTGTGTAGTTGACTGTGTCCTGTGCTGTTATGGGATTATGTTTCATGCTCTGCCAGGGGAAAGCCTGGCTGGGTCTAGGGCAGTTACAGAATCAAGTTTGGGTCATGACTCTTTAAAATAATTTGGGAATAATCTTTCCAGAAAGATGTGTTACAGGGCAGTTTCCTTTGGTTTCATATTTCTATTTCCAGTTCTTTTTTGACCTAGTTTGGAAATGTTTGGCTGTCATCATGCAAAAGCCTGACATGAACTAATTTCACACTTATTTGCAGGTGCTTCAAATGGGATGGAAATACCATCTTATCAGGATCTCAATCTGGTGAATTACTGATTTGGGACCTTCTTGGAGGAAAAGTTACTGAAAGAATCAAAGGGCATACAGGTATGCCTGAACTATTCCCATTCTCAAACTAAGTGTGAGATTCCTATTTTCCAGCTCTTTTAGTACTGAAAAGTTTGAGAGTCATCTGCTCAGCCAGCTGGCTGTTCCTGATGTCAGCTTAACCTGAAACACCAGAATTAAAAATAGGTCCTTGTGAGCCTCCTAGGAAATCAAATAAGAATGGAGGAATATTGCTTTGGACAAGACTGGCCAGAGGGAAATTACTTTCAATTTTTCTAATTCACACAATGCAAAAGTCAACATTTTTCTACCTCTTGGCCCTCAAATATTAGTATAGACTGTACTGTATCCTTTGCCACAGTGTGTCCAGGCTGAGTCTAACAACATTAAGTTCTCTAGTAAACTTGTTTTGGATGGGGATTTATAGGCTGATTTAAATGTATCTATATAGTCTCAGTACATGAGCAACCAGGATCTGTGGAGAAAAACTACCTAAGTTTTTAAGGCTGTTTAACTAAGAGCAGTTGTTTCAAACTTCCCTACTGTAAGTTTTACTCTGGAACTTGACCTATGAAGAGATCATTCTGTAGCTGGGGACTTTTCAGAAGTGGCTTTCTGAGGCATATGCTACAAGATGTGAATACACTTTGCACTCTGCCACTTTTTCCATGTTAAAAAAGCTCATTATCCATGAATACTTTCCTTAGTTGCCATCTGCATTCTGTGCTGCAATGATGTTGTCCCTCTAGTACCAGTCAGCTGAAGCAATAGAGTATGAGATCATTACTCATGTGAATAATTACAACTACCTGGAACCCTACTAAAATTTCTCTTAGCATACACTGTTTCAATATAATCCAATGATCAGACTATGCAAAACTCTCTCAAAAAGATCTGTTCTGTCATCTGGAGTACCACACTTACTTGCATTTAGATTTACTTATTTGTTGTTTTGTTTCCCAGGTGCAGTAATGTCCATGTGGATGAATGAACAATGCAACAGTGTTATTACAGGAGGGGAAGACAAACACATCATGTTCTGGAAACTGCAATACTAAGTGCCTTTCCCTCCAGTCATTTAAATGAACTCTAATTTTAAACCAAACCTTTTAAAGGAACTTAACTGTGTGCAATGATGGCTGCTGAAGCTCAACCAGATAGGAAGCTTTGTTCAACCACAACTTTCTATGTTATGGTGACTTCACTGAGAGCTCTTAACTTCCATAGAGTATGCATTTGTTTTTCATGGACTATCATACTGAAATTGCTTGTGTAAAATGATATCTGATATGAAATTAAAGACTTATTTTTCTGTAATTAAAGAGCTCTTAACTTGCAGTCATTGTTTGATTTACATGGAATGTATCAGAGCTTGCTGTTTGAACTGCTTTGAAAGAAGAAGCATTTGCATATCTAATTTAAGCCTTTTAGGGTGTGTGGAGCTTAATGCTGTCATGTCGTGTGCAGTCATCCTTTCTTAGTGGAGATGTATGTGATTGTAAATACTGCTTTGAACACCACAGCAGCTGCTGTTCTGAGCAGTCCTCAGTCTGGGCTCCCAGATAGTCCTTACCTGTGACTATTTGCAAAGGCATAGAACACAATAAGAAAATTTCTCTGCTGCTTTTCCTACTCAAAAACAGCACTAATGTATTGGTCTGAAAAGAAGACAAGCATAAAATTGATATCCTAACAGACCAGCTAGATGTATTGGGATAAATATTTCCTTAATCCTCTGCCTGGAGTTGGAGCATAGAAGACTATCACTCTTCCTTTTCCTCATTTATATTACTATCCTTCTCAGTAATCTTCAGCATTTTCATGTTTTGTTTAGTGTTCTCAACCTCCTTTAACTGAAATCACCTTTGGGATGAAATTTCAATATAGCATTTAAACAGAGCTACAGTTCCTGGGTTTATCCAATTCCCCAGCTGTCTTAACCCAGGAAGAAGGCAGTGTTGCACAAGGATTACTTTCTCTGTAGGACTTCAGGGTATCTTTTCCTGCTAGGGGCTGTTCTGAAGTGAAAGACTTGAAATAATACTTGAGTGGTTTATTTACAGCAATAAGCATTTGCATTTGTAATGCTGGCTGAGTATGACTGAAGATCTGTTTTTTTCTCTGCTGGTCTTCCCTACTGCTGCTGGTGAGGTGCCCTGGCACAGTGTCCAGGGCAAGTGTTCTACTAAACTGTGTTCAGTCAGATATCCTGCCTTGGGTTTGACACCCAGTGCCTCTTCCAAGGCACAGCTGTTTCTTCATTTTATAAAACAATCAGCTTATGTTTAGGCACTGTTCTCTCCTTCCCTATATAATCTTCTATAACTGCAGTGTGAGCTTATTTTTCAGTAAGGTAAGAGTATTAAACCAAAGTGGTGTTTATTTCAGCCACACTACTCACTTGACTCAGGAGGTAACTGGATTTTTATGTAACCAAGTGAGTGTGCGTGGTGAAGCCACACATGGCAAAAGACTAAGCTGTACCATGCATGCCTGCTGTACTAGACTTAATCTTGCAGGAGCATGTTTCTTCACCTTTAAATTTATTTATTATTAATTACATTTATTTATTTCCCAAACATATCTGTGTGCAGGGACAGCTAATAGGATGTGATTTTTCTACACTTGCCTGGAAATGGCTTGGGTGAATTCTGGGTTGTCCTTGTCACTAGGGGGCCTCCTGCTGAGCTAAACCAGAGGAAAATAACTCAGAACTGAGGAGGCACAAGCTTCAGGGTCAAACTACCTCAGAGAATATACCCTTTTGGTTAAATATGGATGCATGGTACACATAACTCTTGAGTGCAGCTGAGGTTTACCTTCTGCTGTAAAGCTTGCTCACAGAACAGAGCCCTCCTCCACTGCTTCATTGCCTAAAGCAACCATAGCTTTTTAAAGGGGAAAAAGCAGTCAACTCTATTGACTAACCCTATTCCTTGCAGTTTCTGTGAATTTATGTGCTTTTAACCATAAGTCACTCTTCAATGCTAGCTAATTTCTGCCTTAAAACAAGAGCTTTTTTATTCTTTTACTTTTGGTTGCTATCTGCTATAGCTGAATGTTCTTTTACTGAAATTCTAGCCCTGTTTTTTCCAATGGATTTTCCCAGTAGTTCCAGTGATCTGGCTGATAACAAAAAAAAGTAAGTATGGTCAACTTACATTCCCCCAACATACTGTTGTCTTCATTTACTTTTTTTTTTCCAGTTTTAATTTTAGCCAGATTTGTTCTTAGTAGGGAGTCACAAGATTTAAGTAACCAAATGCCACCTGTTAAGCTGTAAGTAAAGAGTTTTAAAGCCCAATTAGATCTATAATCAGCCCTTGCTGACTCATCTGCTCCTGTGTAAAAACTGGTTAGAAGCAGAGATCAGTGTCTGGGCTCCAGGGATGTCACAGCTAAGCAAAGGAGCTTGGCAAAGCCCTTAGAGATGGCTGCAGGCACAAGGGCAGGGCCCATGAGGCTGAATTACACCAGTGCTACATGAAGCCACCAATTACTGCCAGTGTAGGCTTGCCACAGTGGTTCCAGAGACACATCATTTAGTAACCAAACAGTCCCACTAAACTGGCTTGCAGGATGAATTTGATCACCTCTCCAGCCTAAAGTGCTGTAATGGTTTTCTCTGGGTTACTGTAACTGAGAAATTCATTTCAGAAACAGCAAGCTACATGGCAAGACTTTTCCTGACTGCTGAACTTCAGTCCTCCCTGGAAGAGCAGGTCTCCCAACCCTGCTTTTCCTTCAAACAGGAAAAGCTACACTTAGCTACACATGCTAATGAGAGGAAGTGGCAGATGAGAGAGACTCTGTTTATTGCAGACTGCCAAGCTCTGAACTGTTTGCTTTTCTTTTTGGTGTGATCTCTTATAATCTTTTGCAGTATATGTCCCTTAAATGGACAAGCAAAAAAGTAAGATGCCACCGCTCCCAGACCACTTCTGGATCCAAGTAAATTCTGAAGGAATAGCTAAACTGATCCCCCAAATACATCTTAACAAAATAATACCTTTACTGAACTGAAGTTCTTTGCTTTGACTTCATGCTGCTGCCAACTATGAAGAAAATTGAAGTTCAGTAATCCTAGATTTCATAGCTGAAACCTGGAACAGAGGCAGAAAAAAATAGTAAAAAGGCAGTCACTAAACTTCAAGTCTCAGTTTAACATGCCTCTGAGCTGTTGTGGTGGGCTGATCCAAATGATAACTGAGCCCCTGCTGAGCCTCTTACTTACCCTGCCCCACAGCAAGAGGGGCAAGAGACTCAAAAGGGCAAAAGCTACGAAAATTTGTAGATTGCAATAGATGGGAGAAAATAGTGGGGAAGAAAAAAAAAAAAGTGATGAAAAGGTAATCATTCTCTTATTCCTCCAGCAGACTGCTGCCCAGACCAACAACTGCCTTGGAAATATTCCCCACTAATTATTGCTGAGCATAATGTCAAATGGTGTTGATTTTCCCTTGGCCAGTTTGGATCAGTGGTCACACTGTGCTCCCTCTCAGCCCTTGCTCCCTGGGGGGCAGGGCACCAAATGAGAAGCTGGAGAGGCCTTGTCAATGTGCTCATACAACTCAGCAAACACGCTGCTGTTATCCGCCCTACTTTGGTCACAGGCCTCCAACACAGCCCCATACCCGCTCCTACAAGAAAATTGACTTCATCCCAGCCCAATCCAGCATACCCAGCAAGCTGCAGGCAGTGTTACAGTGAAATTGCAACTCTACAATTAGTAAATCTCGTAGAAAAGCTCAGTGCTATTCCACATGTTACACTTAAGGTGTAAAGAAAGTTAGAATCATAAGAAGGCCTGGGTTGGAAGGGATTTAAAGATCACCTAGTTCAAATTCCCAGACAGGGGCAGGGAAACTTTCCATTTGACCAGGTTGGGTTGCTGAGGTCACATCCAGCCTGGCCTTAAGCACTTTGAGAGATGAAACATCCACAGCTTCTCTGGGCAAACTGTTCCAGTGCCTCACCACCCTCACAGTGAAGAATTTTTTCCATTAAACACATCCTATTTAAAGTAGCCCAGAGCTATCCTTCTAAAACATTTCAATGTTAAAACAAGTAATCTTTTTAAAATATGCATCTCCTATCTTCATTGTTGGCTGAAACTGACCTCAATAAAACAAGCCTGTTTTAGCTCATCTTAAGTACATACACACACAGGATGTAAAGTTTTGGTCATTTATTTGGTTACGTCTGAATCCTTAAAAGAACATGGTTAAGGCGAGAGATAAGCATATTAGTTACAATTCATATAACAAGTAAAAAGATTTGAGTATCTGTACACTACTTTAATTAATGCTTACTGACTGATGCCTTGAGCTATATTCAGCTAGGTGGCATTTTTGTGTAAACAGTATTTACTAGAACAAAAAATTAACTAGTACTAGCCTTACTTCTAATACGCTATTTAAAATCTACTCTTGCAAACGAAAAGCAATAAAAATACTCATTTTTCTTAGACATACAAAGCACAGCATTGTCCTGGGTAACAACATGTAGCTTTGCAAGTGATACCTGGTTCCTTTAGTTGCAATGGCTTAGAGTAGTAAGCTAAATAAAAGACCTACGAAAAGAAGTCATAACAATTGGAATTTCACATTTGTCAAGCATGTAAGGCTGCAAGTTTTACAGTGTGTGAATACACGAGATATGTTGAACGGTGACATTCCCAGCCATTATAGATGCAAATGCTTGATGCAGCATATCTTCTCTCAGCCTCCAGAAAGGCTCATGTGCAGAAGAAAGAGATCACTGAGTATAATAGCCCAAGTTTAGTGGAATCATCATCATATATATGTACACAGACATCCATGGTGCAAGTTTAGACTTCAGGAACAGAGTGATCCATCAGGCTCTTCATGATGCTAGTTGCCATCCTAAGGAAAAGGAAAAGGCATTCAAGTTTGTAAAACAACTACAGAAGACCACTCAAGCATGTGGTCACAGTAGCTTTGTCATTGCCTGCAATACAAACCAGAAGCTGGACTTTCACTCCACTATTTTTGACAAGTTGCTACAGACAGCTGCACCAAATTGCACCCCCAGATGAAAGAGAAGCCTACAGTATTCAACAATTCTATTAGTACTTGAGCTGTGTTATTGGTACCTTTCAGGGTATGGACACATGTGCAAGCAGAGTACAAGCACAAGGGAAGGAGAGCAGAGTGAAAGGTGGCTGTTAGACTGAAAACTGCTTTGTAGAAAGAGGATACCAAGCCAAGGGGGTTAAATTAAAAAAAAAAAAAAAAAAGGAAAAAAAGACTCAATTACACCTGAAGCATTATTAATGTCTAGCAACTTCAAAAATATTTTT